TCTTCTAGGAGAGGGGTGGGTACTAACTTTCTACAAAACAAAAGCCTTTTCTCAAGGATTCTCATAATTCCAAATTTTTATTTCAAATCCATCTGAACCCTTGGTCTATTTGTAACTTTCCAAAATCAAAGTTCTAATCCTCCTTTGGCTGTTTATTTCAAATATATTTATATTTGTTTTAAATTCTTACATTTGTACTTAAAACTTCTTTTATTAAGGATTGAAAGATATTCATCCAATACTAAAAATCTTGTTGTTCCTAATAGCTAAAACAAACAATTTCCAAAAGTGATTAGAAAAGAATGGACATGGACCCAGTGGCCTTTTTGAAGCTGCCAACCACAACTGGAGCAAAATGATGTGTATTCCTTCATGGTCCAGAGTTGTAAACCTGCCAGAGACCATTGTGTTGCAGTCTCCTTGCAAGGCGGAACTGAATGGGGCACTGGTGGATAATTTCAAGTCAGTATATTTGCTGGCTCTTCATTCCGCTGTGTTCATTTTCTCTGCATTTAGTGGAGCCATCTTCAGTTTTTTTCTGCTTTCCTGGAAGTTGTAAAAAAAACAAAACACCTTTGTACTGTTCGTATTAAGAGAAAATCTGGAACCTGTCCAACTGTAATGTGCCTTTCTGCACAAAGATGAGGGACACCCTTGTGTTCATTTCCTGTGGTTGCCTCATATCATTCACTGTAGTGTGTTTTCCTTTAATTTTCCTTTCTGATTGTGAATGAATTATTTTGTTCCTGGAACAACATGCCAGAAAATCTACTATAAAACTGGTGGGTAAAGCCAGGATAAACATGAACATTGACGTAAATGTAGTTGAAATTAAATATATGTTCAATATGGTTTCCCTCAAGTCACCTATTGAATAATTTTCTTCTACTATAGTCTTTAGGGTGATATTCTGTACACCGCTATTAGGTTTCTGTGGCAAATTGCAACAAACGGTTTTGGGATACACATAGAGCTATGTTATCAAGCAGGACTCACCTGTTTCTGTCAGATTTGAAATGTGATGCTATTGTGAAGCCAATATAATGCAAAAGAGTGGTTTTGTTTGGTTTCTAAAACTTTGGAAGTCTCTTTGTCTTCTGCCTGGAGGAATTACAATTTTAGGTGATTGGGGCAGGCAAACAAGCTGGACACATCCAGAATCACTAGAAAAGGGCAACTTCTAGAATCCTTTTCTCCCTTTACAAGACGAAACATACTTTTAGATAATTAGTAAAATAGTTTGTCTGGCTTCAATAAAAAAAAGTTCCAACCTAGGAGTTTAAAAAGCATAACTCTAAAGGGAAATTTGTGTGAGAGGGAAATGGGGAAAATATTTTTTGAAGTTACACCTAATTAATAAGCAATTCACAAATTTATGTTATCATTTTGCCCAGGTTTAATTTTCCTGTGTACTCTTTTCTCACATTTATCCTGTGATATGAAACCTCTGTGAGTGTTATGACTGTTGAAAGAAATGTCCTTCTGGGTTCAGCTCCAAGTGGGGAANTGGGATGAAGCTGGCTCTGATGGTGAAAGAGAACTTCATAATTCCATAGCCAAAGGAAGAGTTGCCCTGCTGTAGAAAAGTGTTATAATTTTTTGTCTAAAAATCAGATCATCAACTCATATGATATTCCTTTGGATTGTTCTTTTTTAATATTATTTAAATATCATCATTTAAAATTTCAGCTAAAAAGATAAAAACTCATATAAACAAAAATAATAAAAATAAAAAACAGAGAAAAGAAAGAAAAAATAGAAAAATAGCAAAGAAAAAAAAGAACATAGCAGACAAAAAAAATTGAAGAAATAACTTCTCCTTTTATCATGGGAAATATAAACAATTTTGTAACATCACTTTCTCTTAAAATACAATAACTGATCTTTTCTTCTTGTATTCCATCTCTTATCTATAAACAAAGTATTATTATTTAATCCTGATCAGCAAAGTCCATTAAGGGTTACTAGAGATTAAATAATATATTTTGTTTTAACGCTGATCAAATAAACCAACTTAATATTCCTACTTTTAATAACCTTGAACTTTAATCCCTTCAAATAATGTCCTAGAACTGTATTTCTTTTCATTTATCTCTTTGACAAATTTCTTCAAAGTTTTAAAAAGTCTCTTTTGTAAATTTACTATAGGAAAGTTATCCAGGTCACTCTTTGGTTTGTTATTTGTAATATCTCTTTTAATTATTGAGATCTTAACCAATTTCATTTGTATGTCCAGGATAGCATGTTTTCCATATATTCCTTTTAGCCTGTCAATTTAAAATCCACTTTTTGATCAGCTTTGGTCTTGTGTGGTAAAACTTGTTCCTCTCCCATAATACCTTTTTAACACTATTTAGTAACAGTCACTTTTAAATTTAATTTCCACATCCATTGTTCATAAAAATCCTTCAATTTAATATTCTGTATTGGTAAGTCAAATTTAAGTGTTCTTCTCCTTTAATTGAAATCATTCATTTCTTCTGGTTGCCTCTGGTGTCCTACCTTCAAAGTCTCATCCATCATTTTTTTTTAAAGAGAATTTAAAACTGTTGGAAGAAATATCCATCTGGTTCAGTTCCAAATGAGGAGAAAGACACTGGAAACATAGAGCTGTTTGGAAAGTTGGTTTATTGAAGGACAGGACCACATGAGTTTTAGATACTGGGCAGCTGAACACATGGAGGAGAGAGAATGAGGTATTATACCCATTCTTGGTTATTGCCCTTGAGCTTCCTATTCCTGTGCAAGAAATGTATTCTATTGGTTGTCAGACTCCCAGGGGGCTATAGCTGAGGTTGTCTGAGATACGATTAGATGAACCTTGCTGAGTGATGCAATGAAGGGGCTTGGTTGTGCCATGTGGTGAGCTCTGCTGATAGATAATCCTATTATGTCCTGGAGAGTCATGTCTTAATCCCATCACCCTGGAACTAAAGGTCTAATTGTCTTGTAGATAGGCTGGCCTATGCTTGCTGGGGCTATTAAGAAAGGTGGGATGCTGCTTTCCAAGAGCATGTTTCTCCTTTAGGGAAATATAATATTCTGCCTTTTTAATATTTCCTATAATATTTCAGTCTTCTAGGAGAGGGGTGGGTACTAACTTTCTACAAAACAAAAGCCTTTTCTCAAGGATTCTCATAATTCCAAATTTTTATTTCAAATCCATCTGAACCCTTGGTCTATTTGTAACTTTCCAAAATCAAAGTTCTAATCCTCCTTTGGCTGTTTATTTCAAATATATTTATATTTGTTTTAAATTCTTACATTTGTACTTAAAACTTCTTT